GCCATACTTTTTCTGTGATACAGCAGAATGAAGCAGTAAAGGTCACGCTAGAGCTGGAAAACTTGGCAGGGCTTTAAAAGAACTCAGTGTCGTCCTCCCCTGACACACATTTGGAGAGCATTGCGCACATAGCAACCAGGGTCTCCATGACAACGGCAGGCCTTGTCATCTAGGTGCGGACAGGAGTGAAGCCGCTGACCGAAATCCCGAAAGTGTTACGCACTGCAGATCTGCTCAGTGAATCTGCACAGTAATAGATTATAGTCTCTCCAGCACTTCATCACTGATTTGCCTTTGAAAGATCTGGACTAAAGTCAAGCAGATTCAAAGCAGGTTATTTGCTCTTTAGCCGATCCAGACTATGTTTGCTTTATTATTGTTTGAGGAAGCCGCAATCTGTCTTTCTTTTACTAGACATTATATATTGTTCTCTTAAATATTTACTCTGGCAATGAATAATTGCTCAGTCTCGAGTGCTTTTGTCAGTATTCATACTCTTTTGTTTGGATAATGTTTACCCAGCCTGTTTACGCCAACTGACAAAGTCTGAAACGGATTTACAACTGATAACCCTTAAAGACCTGAAGAAATAGTCAGAGGCCGTGGGGTTCAAGAGTTAACAGGACTGTGCCATTTAAGAACAACTTAACAAGCCTTCAAGTGATCCGAGATCAGATTTTGCCCTATCACGCTCATTTATCTTAAGTGCCTGAGCTGATCTGACTGAGTAAAGCCCTGAGCATTGCAAATCAATCTTTATTTTGGGTGGACTATCCCTTAAGCCCAAAAGTATACTTTGGTTTTTATGCATACGTAAGCGTCATCGTATAGTGCACGTTAAGCAAATTTTGTCACCAGAATAGTACGCGCATACTGTATGTGCACCATCTGATTTTGCTGGAAGTGCTAGATGGCACTTCACACTCCAGTCCAGTAGGTGGCGAGAGTGTCTTCCTCAAACACAGCAATCGTATAATCTCAGAAGTCTCAGGTCTGTACACACAAACATGAATGTTTGGAAAATTACGTAATTTATCTGTTCAGAGCAAAAAATGGCAGGTGGGCTGAATGAAAATGCAGTTTTACTCTCTGACAGTAGGTGGCGCTTATTGAAAAGCAAAATATCTTGGTTACACAGTCTGTTTTTTAAGCACCAAGTTGTCCTTTTATGTAACAGCAGCAGCTCTCTGGCCATGTGACTACAAGCGCAAATCTTATTGGGTGGCCAGAATTTTTTGCAGTGCGATGGAAAATACATTCTGAATAGACGCATTAACAGACATTATTTCGTAAAAAAAAAATAATGTTTATTGCTCTAAATTTGCAACTGAACATTCATTTTGGAGTGAACATGCCTGTGTTGTTTTGTCACTTTTAAATTGTTGTTGTACATGAAATGATTTTAAGAATTTACTTTTGTGTTCCTTTTGCTGATATATAATGACAATATTTTATTTTAGGGGTAAAATTGATTTGTTAATTTGTTGGCAAATAGCACTGTTCAATTGCATTTGCATAGTTTTTGAGTTAAAAGTGAAGTTAAATAAGCAATAAGGGCGCTTTAGGGTATACTGTATCACACAATACATGTGAGTATGTACTGTGGTTGGACTAAGGTCTTTCTGTGGTGAACCTCAGGGCACTAGGGGGCTTTTTTTCCCCGTGAGAAGTCAGACTGGTGTTGGTTTACTCAGGGTCTCGGCCTGAAACAAATACAACTGACACATCTATTGTTACAGCACCACTGAATAAAGGCGAGATACAGATCTACATAATTAACATATTGCCATAATATCCCACTTTTTATCTCTCCAGACAATTAATTCACGAGTCATTTGTGTCGCTAGGTCTCATTTGCTGTGTAATATTCACACTCACGGATCCAGCTCAGCGTTCCCTTCATGCATATGTAAAAGTGTTCTTGTCATGTACAAGAGTAATATATCTGTGTCCATAGAGAGAACAGATCCTGACTAGATTTACAGAGCTCATGGTATCATCTTTCAGGCTGAATAGATGCAGATATATATGTGTGGTTGCTTCAGGTGCGCTGGGGAGCCGGAGGGGGTGTACTGAGAGCATTTTACCAGCCTGTATGCTTTACTGACAAAGACACTACATTTTGGCAAATTGGTGGCTAGCTTGATGAATCCATGTATAGTTTGGTGAACTATTAACTACGGCTTCTGTCTCATTAAACTCCTAATTTGCTGCTTATTAAAGGTGCACTAAGCGATTTTTGCCAAACTATGTTGATATTTGAAAGCACCAAAACAAACACGCCCATACCCCAACAGGGACCTCGCCCTTATTTTAAAATCTCCGCCCCACACGTACATACACCACCATGGCAACGACGATCGCGGAAACAAGTGAAGATGACAAACAAGCATATTCAAACAAAAGCCAACACGGATAAGTTGTGTGAAATGAAGCAAAATCAACATTACTCACCTATCAAAAAGAAACAACGCAAACTCGGCGTCCGATTCCAGGCCCTCCCGCTCCTTGAGTTCTCTCCACCGCTGGGAAGCTGCTCCGATATTTACTCTTGCCTGATCGTAACCCTTCTTTTTAATGTTTTGTTAAATTATGTGATAAATAATGCGTTTTTAAAAAAACGAAGCATTAACACATGTTAGACTGCACCCCATAAACACAATTAATCCTAGAAAAAAAAAAACAGTGAACCACCCCTTTAAGTCTGTAGTAAAAAATGGGTGAGCAATAATAGTCATGTTTGTCTTAACAAGTACCACTAATTTACAGACTATATATAAATCTGGTTTTGAAAGCTGTTGGATATGGAAATCTTTACCATATTTTCTGTAGCTGAAGAGTATCTCATAGTGTGATTGACTCTGTCTTTGCCATTTCCAAGGCACCGAATGTACTTTGCCATTTCCATTTTTGCCCAAAATATTTTAGTGTTTTCATTGCATTGCCCTAAATGGATAATTCTAAAATGGTGCAAGGCTCAAGGAAAACCCAGAAACGTCCCAAAAGCACAGCTATAGGGAATATACATTTAGTAGCAAATAAATAAAAAAAACCTTTCCAAGCCTTTTTAATAGATTGAGATCTGCTTGGAGACTCAGATCTGCTTCTGTGTTTTCCCATGAGTTGGAGTCTTCCTCCCTCTTACAGAAGCTGGGGCTGTGATCTGCTATCTACAAAGCTATTATTTTAGTTCAGTGGGTGCATCCCCCACTCCAAAACCATCCACACCTCCATCCCCTACCTCTCCTGGAAAAAGGGAGGAGAAACTCCAAGGCATGACAAGGCAGATCAGAGTGAGAAGGTGGTGGCATTAAGGTTCCATGACACAAGTGGAATCAATCTTTGACCCAAATGCACAAACAGGTGAAATGAATTGTAAAACTAATATAAATCTCTGGTAACATTATTTGAAAGTTAGAAAGAGTTCATGTGAGGTCACTGATTCATTTCAGTCTGCTTCCTTCCCTGGTCTACGTTCAGTCCATTCATGCTGTGATGACCTGGGGTCAGTCGTTTGTTGGTGATCTGTTTTGAGTGCTGCTCTTATCAGGGCCCTTGTGTGACGGCAGTTCTGCTCCAATTAGCTCATCTGAGGGAGTCAAGAGTCTTGATTCTCATGAAGAGCTGAACAAACACTATTTAATGAGTTCATCTTATGAGAATTTGCATAGAATTTCCAAAACAAAGCTTTTCAGACCGTTTTAAAAAGGTGTTTTTTTTAGGGGGAATGGATACATTTTTGTTAAGCTTGTCAGTAAATGATTAAATCACAAAAACCTGTCAAAAAACATCCATAATCATTAGAAAAAAAGTCTACATTTTTATTATTACCTCTCTTTCGCACCTGCGGTGCTGTAGTGATGTCCGATTCTGTTGAATGATTCAACTGATTGAGAACTGTTTGTAGCCTATTTCACTTTTTTATTTGAAAATAGAGTTTTGCTTAAAGGGGTCATATGATGATATGATTTAAATTTTTCCTTTCTCTTTGGAGTGTTACAAGCTCTTGGTGCATAAAGAAGATCTGTAAAGTTGCAAAGACTAAAGTCTCAAATCCAAAGAGATATTCTTTATAAAAGTTAAGAGTCAACCACGCCTACCTAAAACGTCTCGTTCTAACACGCCCCCACATGTCTACGTCACGATGTGGGAAGATTTGCATAGCGCCACCCAAACGTTCACGCAAAAAAACAAGGCTTAACTTTGATTCTCGCTGTAGTATTGTTGCTGCCGCCGCCATGTCATGAAGGCACTGTGTGATTCGTTGTGAAAGCGAAACTACTTTGGTTGGCCTTCCAAAACAGGATGATATCCGCTTCGTCATGCCTGGAGCTGATCCGTGCTGGTCTTCGCAACTTCGCGCTGTCGATCGCCGGATCGGCTTTCACCGTGGACGAAGTGGAGTCCAGCCCGGGGTCGTCACATGTGGTTGCCGCAAGCCCACTCCATGACCGCCATTAAACAGCTTGGAAGATCAAAGTCAATTTTTAATATAACTCCGATTGGATTCATCTGAAAAAAAGAAGTCAAATACGCCTAGGATGGCTTGAGAAAGTAAATAATGGGTTAATTTTCATTTTTGGGTGAACTATCCCTTTAAGCGCATTTTCACCCAATTCAGAAAAATAATTACTTCTTTATTATTGTAATGTCAAAAATAATTAAATTTCTATACATATTTAAATTCAAACGTGTTTATGCATCATGATAGCATTTGTTGTACTGACTTTATACTGATTTTATTGTAAAAATTCTCATATTATTACTAAAGGACACTAAAAGGGTAACTTAATCATTAATGTTTGTTTTCCTGTAGATTTGGTTGTGAAATGTGACCTGGACATGTTTTCTCAGGATTCACCCATGCACACCACGTTACAATTTGAATAACAAAACCTTGACAAATTAAATCTAATGTGCAGCACAGCAACAAGTGAAGGCTTGTGTGTAACTGTGTGTCTGTGTGTGTGTGAGTGAGAGAGAGAGAGAGAGAGAGAGAGCGCGCACTACTGCATTTAAGGGCTCTCTCTCTCTCTTATCAGACTTGTGGGACATATCTAGTCCTCTATTTGGGGAAGCAGGGCTGAGGGCTGGTGAAGTGTGGCGGACAGCGGCAGGTTGGAATTCGCTGCGGGTGTGTGGAAGCGGGGAACCGAGAACAGTAAGAAACACCTTACAGCTCAGTGCCAGAGAGTGTAAGACGCTTTCCTATGGCGTGTGATTGATCAATTCAATCTCATTGGCTTTGCTTGTACAAGTGGCAGAGAGAGGGAGAGAGAGGGGAATATTAATCATGGCTGGAAAGTCTCTGCACTTGTGCGTATTCTTGATTTGCGCAATTCAAACGAACACTGGATTTAACATTGACGTGCAGTTCCCGGTTATCAAAGAAGGAAAAACCGAGGGCAGCTTATTTGGATTTTCTGTTGCATTGCACAAACAGACCGAAAAGACAAAGACGAACTTGTAAGTACCAGAATGATATTACATATATCGAAAGTTGCTCTTTTTGTTTCTTTTCGTTCTTTCTGCGCTAGTCTAACACAGGCTAGAACGAGGAATACAAATGACGATCGCATATTCAACGTCACAAACCTTTAGATATTTATGCTCCGTGGATGGATTCATTCATATGAATTAATATCTAGTTTTGAGCATCCAAATAAACTAAAACAACCTCTCTTTCGCACCTGCAGCGCTGAAGTGATGTCCAATTCGCGAATCATTTAGGCTATTGAACCGATTCTGTTGAATGATTCAACTGATTTGAGAAGCGTTTGTAGCGTATCTGATTACGTAACTCGCGTTACTTGTAATGCGTTACCCCCAACACTGCTAGTCACTACATTATAAAGAATGATTCAAGAGTAAATCTAACATAACAATATTCTAAAATCTCTAGAGTAGGCTACTAAATATTATCATTCATAATAGGCTACTGGAAACTATTGGTATCTGCATGATTGTTAGGTTCTAGCTTGTCATTAGCTAGTGCAAGCTGGTAGACCATCTTGGACCAGCCACGAACCAGCTGTTATCAGCCCTGCAAACTTTAAAAGCATCAGTATTGATTGTTCAGTGTATCGGTTCACTAAAATGAACCAAATGGTTCAAACGAATCTCAGCGCTACCGCCGAAAGGCAACCTGTTCGTTGTGAGTCTTTAACTTTCACAAACTGCGCAGACGCCATAATTTAGCTACTCGTCTACAGTTTTTGTTTGTATTTTTATTACCATCCGAGTTGTTCTGCTTTATATTATAGCCTACCTGAAGTTCTCTTGAAGTAAATATGCTATAAACACTAACAAAATAGGCTACCTACCACCAAGCTTATACCGCCTTGGTAAAATAAACAAATTTTGGGCAATGTCATGTTTTTCATAAATATGATATTCATTCAGCATTATGCTACAGTATATGTCACATCTGATGCCATCACTGAACCATCACAATATGTTTTTGATCTGTTATGTTTACTTTAGTGGTGTCAAACGATTAATCGCGATTAATCGCATCCAAAATAAAAGTTTTTGTTCACATAATATATGTGTGTGTACTGTGTATATTTATTATGTATATATAAATACAAACACATGCATGTATATATTTAAGAAAAATATGTAATGTTTATATATTAAATATATTTATGTAGCCTATAATGTAAATTATATGAATATAAATATATACTCTAGGAATACATACATATTTTCAAAATATATACTGTATGTGTGTGCTTTTATATGTACATAATAAATATACACAGTACACACACATATATTATGTGAACAAAAACTTTTATTTTGGATGCGATTAATCGCGATTAATCGTTTGACAGCACTAGTTTACTTTTAATTTAAGTACAGTTCTAGCTATACTTTAACATGACTATAAATGGCACCATTATATCGGTTTACTATTCCTACAGTCTTCTAGTTACCCTCTGAGGTAATTTGAATACAACTCCGGTGAAATAGGATGGGTGTTAACACGCCAACAGATGCCAAGAACAGTCAAAACAATAGGACTGTGTTTAAACCGTGTAGCCAAAGACAGGACAGTAGAATACTGCAACTTTGAGATCATTGCATTATCTTTCTCCCTATTATGAGAAATGAGACATAGGTTCAGATGAACCTGTATACTTTTACCGCTGGCTATGCCAAAGAAAATTACACCTCAGGACATGGATTTATAGCTGAATGTGGGCTGTGCTTTCATTTCAAAGACAGGAAACAATCGCATATAAACATAATCCTTTCTTTAGGCTTTTATACTGTATCTGTTATAAGATAATGTCTGTTATCAGAAGTGCACTGAAGTATGTTCTTGCTTTAAAGTATATATCTTCAAAGATATGCAGGTTTTGTACGACAGAGCTTTGTCATGCCCTCATATCCTGTATAACCTGTTGCCTGCAGACTGTTTATGCTCCTGATAAACCTATTACCCTCTCGGTGGCTGCATGCTTTCAAAAGGAAAACTCTCAGCAATGGCGCGCTGCTATATATCAAAGCATGTAGCACCAGAATTAGCAGCACAAATATGGGTCAGCACTAGTGAGAAGATGGATTGAATATGCTGTATATGATTGTCGCTGATGTATTTTGTGAAGCTGTCAGCTATGCCTCTGTTGTGGGATGGTAGGGAGTTCCCCCAAATTGCTCTTTCCTTATTTGTGATTTCCTGCTAATCAAGAGCCTATCGTCTAGTTTCATCGACAGGCCCTGAAGGCACATCAAAGAACCGAGGAATCTCCTTGGCGCATGTTTTAGTCGATGACACTGCTTTGAAAGTAATCACCTAAATCACTTCACCTCTCTGCTTCATCAGGCGGTTATAAATTTGTCACTTAACCCAGTGTTACTGTTAAGGACTGGATGGATGCTGTGCCCTCTGGGGAGCGTGATATTGTCCAGGCACTGAAACATGAGAGGGGCCACACGGTCACGGGGAGTGTGTCCTTCGCTCACAGGCGGATGGGGACACTGGTACAGAAATGGCATTTAGGATCTGTGTCTAGGATGGCTAGATGGGCAGATGCACGGTTAAAGAAGACCCAGCTGTGCTCACTTTAACAATCTGCCACTTAAAAACACCCTGTAAGATGCTTTATATGCTGTAAAACTGTACAAGCCAGTTTGTGAAAGACCAGCTAATAAAGTCAGAGTAGTGGACCTGTAAAAAAAATAAAAAAAATAAATACAAACAGTATGTATGTATATGTACAGTACATGTATGTATGTATACAATTTTATATATACACATTACAATGATAAAGATGTTACACTGGTAGTATTTGTTTTTAATTACTTGTTTAAGTAATTGATTTATATTATGCTGCTTTTGATTTTATTATAAAGTTTCTTTAAAATTATTAAAATTAATAAAGTTACAATTAAGTTTCTAAATTCTGACTTCATGTATGTCACTATATAACATACTTTAATTATATAATAATATTTGATGAAATATTATACATATTAAATATTATTATAAATAATAATATTAAATGTAGTTAAATAATTATACACACATAGATAGATAGATAGATAGATAGATAGATAGATAGATTTAATTATATAATAATATTTGATGAAATATTATACATATTAAATATTATTATAAATAATAATATTAAATGTAGTTAAATAATTATACACACATAGATAGATAGATAGATAGATAGATAGATAGATAGATAGATTTTATTTTATTATTTTTATTTATTATTTTATTTTTCATTTTTTATTGTGCCCAGACAGGATGATTTTCATTACTGTGCTATAGTGAAGAGTATGAGGTTTATTAATTTATTAATTTACTTATTTTTTTGCAGTACAGTAATTCAAATTTGGGGGAAAATGTGCTTATGGAGGAAAATGAAGTTATTATAAAAAGATTGTAATGAAAAGACTATATCTAAATATGAGATTTTGATGAGAAATATACATTTAAAACCTTTTCCTGACATCAGTATTTCATCTTTGGGAAGAAAAAAAAATATTTTCTTTGTGGTTGATTCTTCTCAGTTGTGTGTTACTGAGGTGCTTTAGAGCTGAACTGAAGTTGGGCTGCATGGGGGCATTTTATTGATGCATCTTATGAGAGAGATCTAATCAAATCTCTCTTTACTGTTGGCCATGTTTGTCTAAGCAGGACACTGCGCAGACCCCTCTCTTCCCTCCGCATATCCTGAGAGATGGAATGTGCTGGCTCAAACTGAAGCGTTTTCAGTGAAAAGAGAGAAATACATTTCTGCTGTATGTTTTCACTGCTTTTCTGCATTTGTCCACCAAACCCAAATGTCTACACTGTCTCACCTCAGAGACAAGAATTAGATCTTGTTGAGTTGAGCATGAGGAGTGTGAACTTTTAAATAATGCAGAAGTGCAAGCGATTGCCCATTTACAACATGCATTAACACTGCTTTAGTGTGTGAAATGAAGACGTGTAAGTTTGAAAGAGACAAGGGAGGTGAAGGATGAACCTTGATAGTTTTTTAGGGAATAACATGCAGTTTAATTAACTAAAACTAATACTATAACAAAATGTTATTTGGAAAAAAGCATTAACATTACTCATTTTTCTTTAGTTTTACTTAAAGTACTAAAATAAGTCAAACAAAAAAATGTAATAAAAACTATATAGACATTTAAAAAAAAAAACTAAAATCAAATAAAATTACAAAAACATATAATTATTAACTTATTACTGTTAACTAAACTTAAAACCTTAAAAAACATTTTTGTTAATTGCAAAAAAAACCATTTTTCATTTGTCTTAAGCCCTAAAATATTGTACTAAAATAATGAAAATAAAATGAATAAAAATTATATAGACGTTTAAAAAAAAAAAAAACTAATAAAATGACAAAAACACAACAAAATAATTAAAACTTGAACTAAAAATAAAGTGAAAATATAAAAATATATAATTTAAATATTGACCAAAACATATAATTATTAATGTATTATCATTAGCTAAAACTAAAAAAAACATTACAAATAAAAAATACACTAATACTAAAAATACATTTTATTTTTTTTTAAATTGTAAAAAAAATTAGGCATTTAAAAAAATAAAAAAAATAATAAAAACGTATCAATTATACTAAAATATCACTGGTTCCACTTCTCTGATCCTTCTGAGTTACGGAGAATCATCTTCGTATCATAATTGTGACAAAATATAAGGAAATGGGATTAAACGAGAACTTAAAATGAAAAGGAAAATCTGTTTGCAAATCATTTTGTTTTCATAATCTGTTGTATTTTATTCATTTAGATTGTTTGGATGATGAGAAGTCACCTCTAACAGGTGCTGGAGAAAAGAGATTACAGGAAGTCAGAGAAATGTATTATTCTTCAATTAAATCACAGACAAACACTTTATCTTTGGAATAAAGTGCACCAATGAATCATGCACAATAAGACCAAGAATATGCTTTAAGGGGTAAAATATATCA